AAAGAACTACACATCGGTTTTTATGCGTAACGTTTTTATGGAAAGCCACAAAAAACGCAATTTCTCTCTCTCTCTCTCCCTCTCATTCGTTCGTTTTTGGTGTGGATGAGAAAAAAAGTTACAACGCACATTTACGTTTTACCACAGAATCAGTCTATTTGCGTTCAAACATAGTAAACAGTGGATCTGCGTGCATTAAATTTCTTGGCATTAACAGTGCTTCATTCAGATATACATTTATCCACGACACGATTCATTCGATTTGAATTTTGAACAAAGTATAGAGTACACTTTTGCTCACTCTGCAATGAACGTAAGAAGAAAAATTGTGTTGAACATATTTATCGGCGCAATTTGCGCTCGTTCCGCATGAATCAAAACAAATACGAGAAATGAAAAAAAAATAATCTTCAATTATTTTACGATTTCCCGAAGTGTGCGCAATGCGAATTGATGTGCAATAATTGATTTTTATCGACAGTGTATCAACTATCTATGTACCATTTGGCTCATCTGCTTTTAAAAATAGATGAACAGCATCGTAACGCACCGATGTTCGTATATTGCGATTACTATTAATCAAAGCAATCAGACTTAAAACGGAGTGTACTTTGTTTTGCCCCGAAGCCAAATACCATGCACTGATTTGTTGTTGGGCAGCTGCACATTGTGAAAATTGCTCGCAAAGAGGGTAGGGAAAAATGTAAATCTATTTGTGTGACGGTCCACAAAGTTTACCCACTGCGGTACATGTGTAAAAGTGTTTGTCGATACATTGCATCGAACTAATGAATAGCGCTAAGGTATTTGAACTACATTAGTATTTTGATGTGCATTATTATTATTTTTTGTTGTTGCGATTGCTATTTGCCGGGGCAATTGGCGTGAAGAGAACAACATTTAATTTTATATGCTATGCTCGGTTAGTTTGCTGCTTCTTCGATTTTTTGAAGACAATATTGGATTTGTTCATGCTATTTATAACTATATCAAATGTGCACTATCGACGAAGACCCGATCGCCGATAAAGAAACAAAAAACCAGCATTCTAATTCGATGAAACTTTCACATTTGAAGAAGTATTTGCATTAAAACAAAATTCGCATGATTTTATCGAATCTCATTTGTCTGTCGAACTTTTCAAAAACGAATACATTGAGTGGCGTATACGCTTAGTTTAACACGACCTTGAGCAGTTCATATACTTTGCTGATGCTTGCTATTTTGTAATAAACAATCGTATAGAGCAAAACATTGAATAATTCGCAAAAAGGCAATAAACTGCGGATTATTATCGACGTACTAGATAGTCGTAAAAAACACAAGCTCGGCGCATTTAATGATATATCATTACAATCAAGCTGATCGTTTGTCTAATCAAAATGACTACAAGAGACTACCACTTTTTTATTGTCTTTTCCAATCGAAAAATTGCAAAAATCTCCATCTACAGACGATTTGTTGTCTAACACATTTTAACTCACATCACCACGAACATTATAATGTAATTAAGTCAAAACAATGTCTGTCATGTGTCTCTCGACTACACACAAAACAGTTGCCGAATATATTCCAGAGTTCTTTTCATGTATACATTTTTGAATTTTTGAATCATGTGACGATACTGTCATCATCGTTGTTCTAAAACACAAACGAAACTCGCCCTGATTGGTTGAATGACACAATTCGCCAATTAAATGAACACATTTTGCATTTAAAATGAGGCATTTTACGAATCAATGATGTGCTAATTTAATTCGAAGCATCTATGATATCAGAGAGATTAAAATAAATGTTATGATAAAAAAAAATACTGAATTTACTTACAAAACAAAAAAGAAACAAAAAAACAAAATGGAACAAATTAAAAACTAAGCAGCAAATATATTCAGCGTAAAGCAACTATGTACATCACAAGCTTCCCACATTTAATCGATATGGATTATTCTTTCTTTATCACCGCGATTGATACACGAGACTAGTTTTTCTTTTTGTTTTCGTTTCTTAAGTCGAATTTTCAAGGATTTTCACATTCATCACAAAAATTCCATTTACTTTTCGAGTCTTTACGGCGCAAACATCTTTTTTTCTTCGAAGTTTTTGGAATCTCCCTCCAAAATTTTTCTTCTGCAATTACATCTTTTGCACAATTTTCGACTGATTTTTTTTTATTTTTGTTATTCACTCATATGACTGGATTAAGACTTTTGCATTTTGTATATATGCACAATAACTTCACAATGAAAACTTGGATAGTACGGTTTTTGTTCGATTGAAGAAAAAAAATACTTGCACAAAAACGAACTTTGGATTTATCGAATAGGAAAATTTTATAAAAAATACAAAAAAATATTGTAATTTTTATTATTGACTGTATAACTTGAATATTGTTCAAGCCAAAGAATTAAGAGAGAAAAAATATACTATCAAAACACGCATTACTCATTTGACTGACGTTTGTGTATTCGGTATGAAAAGAAACACTAAACGGCGTATGAGTTTGTATTGTGCAGCTGTGTGTATATGGGAGTACCAATTGAAGTTTCCATTTTTAGTACTAGTGTTGTGGCATCACTTTTTAACAGACAATTTTCAGAAGCTTCGCGGCGACGCAGCGCCATCTGTGTGAAATTTTTCGAATTTACTTGAAACAACTTATTTTTTTTTTACAAATAATGAAAAAAATTGTGTTATGCAATCGAGATTATTCTTTTACTTTTCGAATTAATCTTCTATCTAATCTATTATTTATACGTAAAATTTGGTTGTGCAACACATACTTTAATATTTATTTTTGTGTAAATAAAACACTTTTTCAAACAGAAATGCGGTAACTGTAAATATTTGTTTGGATAAACATTTGAATAAAGTCCAAATATAATTCAATATTTATCGAAATTTTAAAAAGACAATTATAGGCGTGAGTGACCATATGTGCATATATGGAATGTCCGTCTTTATGAAGATCTTATTCATTACAGATTTTCTTCAAAAACATTTCAATGGTTCTGGTAAAATATTTATCGAGTGCCGGATGTGAATTAATTCCTTTCATTGTGCCTTCGAGTCATTGACATTGAGAAGCCAAAAGAATGAAATCCGCGCTGTAAAACCGGGCTCTCATCAATTTATATGTGCATATGACCACAATTGCAGCAATAGAAAAGAGCTAAAGTATTGCTTTTATTCCAACATTTATTAGGTGCGAACAAAATACCGATGGATTGAATGTGTATTACATAAACATAACTTTAAATTTATGGCCGGTGTTTTAAGTGTACGTCGTTGTTGGTTTCAATCCATAAGAAGCATTAGAATTTTTTTTTATAATCGTACTAACATTTAAACCTCAGGAAATAATGTAATGCAGCTTTTCTCGCAGTTTGCAAGAAAGAAGAGTATTTATGAAACATGTTTTCTCCAAGTGAAATGGTTGATAATAAATAACATACAGACAGGAAACATTTAAGATTGCACACACAAGCAGTTTCTATGGCTGATGAAATTAAAATGTAGTGACATTGATCCACGTTGGAGCCTATAATAAGTCGATTCTATATTTGTCGCTGTATATCATTCAGTAACAATACAGATGCAGCTGTATTTATCGAAGCACACGTCGATGAAATGTGTTTAATGACAACGATGTGGCAAGTGGCTCGTTAATACTTGAAGAAGAAAAAAAAACACGAAATGTGATTTCAGTCGATGAAAAAGTGGTTCTGTAATATTTTTATGAATGCAAAATTTCATTTAAATTATGCAGTCATTCAATTACATATTCAGACCAATTAATAAAAAACATGTGAAAAGTCCGGTGTTATTTCGACTGACGGTTCATTAAGTATTTTCTGAACGAATTTTTTTAAAAGCGAAATTCAGGAAGATCGTTGTTCTCCTTGTATTTTCATAGAAATTGGTGTAATCCATTGGCATTAATCGTTGCAAAGCGCAACATAACCAATTATAAAATATTTTCCGATTAGAAATTAAATTAGTGCGTGCGTTTATTCAAGCTTATATTTCATATTTTTCCGGATTTGTATAATAAACGAGTGGCGTGCGTCACACGAGCGATTTTTTTTTTTCACTTACGAATTAATTCATGCACACATTTTCCATAAATTGGCCATTTCTTGGTTTGGTTTCGGTTTGTTGCGCAAGTCAACACTCAACTGATTTTATTTTTGCATAACATTAGACTTTTAAATTTTCTTTTTAAACAGAAAATAAAATAAAGAGTTTGGAAAAACTCAGGCACGTTACAATAATTTTCAACCTTTGGTATGTCGAAGGTAGTACCATCAAACTTCTTCGAACGAATTTATATGAAATGACCTTGAATTTTGTAAGTTTCATACATGTCATAGCCTTTCGAACCAAATCAGGGATACCAGACACACTGCTCTTTGCCATAAAAATATTTTATATATATGACTCTATATTATTCTCGTTAAATCTTTAAGGTATAAAGTCGTAACATAGACTATAAGCATATTTATTTGAAAAAGGAGCGAAATAACGAATTTTCCGTTTTATTCGTTCTTATTTTCGATTATTTTTATTATGAACTTTGCATGGTGAATTTTTTCATTGAGAACAATTCGTGAGAACATACTATCGATTTACTGCTAGAAGCGATCGTTTTCGAAATGGCAATCGATTGATAACATGAAATCGTCTGGTTTCACGAAATTCAATGAATATATGTGTCACGTTTTTTTAACTTTTTTTTCTACACATATGTCACAAATGAGTATTTCGGAAATTGCCAAAAGATATACCAAAGAAATTTCCAACCACCATTAACGTTCTATAATAAATGAAAACCATTGATGAGAAAGAGTCCAATCATGCATCGACCATTTGGTTCTCTTAATTGTTCACAGCAATTATCGAAGAATCGTAAAGAATTTCATCAAAGCAATGACAAATCGTGTGGAAAATGTGTGGTTTTTATATTTTGTAGTGCGATCGTGCACCATTAAAAAAAATCTATATCAAATGTATGAGCAATTTTTTATTCGATTCATAAAATGAATTGTTTATTTTTTATATATTCAGATATTCTTTGGTGCTTCACAACAAAGAAAGTTTCTTTTTCTTGTTTTGTCATTTCATGCGCTTCACAAAAGACTATGTTATAATTGTAGCTTATTATATTCGTTTCGGGTCATCTTTTGATGTAGTTCTTATTTCATATTTTGTGAAGCCAAAAAAGTTTCATTTGCAATAACCGTTACATATTAAATCGTGCTTACAGCTATTTGGATGGCAAACAATCGATTAACATGGAATACGAAAAAAAGATGTGTTTTTTTTTTGTTTTGTTCACACAGGAACTGATTATAATATGTAATGGCCGTCAATTAGAAGACTTTGAATGAGAATTCGTCGTTATCATCATGCCTCAAACATTCCTTCAAGTCAATAAGTAATGCACGGGTCTTCAAAAATGTTCGTCTTGTCTCTTTCTCCTGGCATGCAACATACTGGTCAATGATGCCCGATATCTGCGTTCTATGCTGAACATGCAACAAGTCAATTGCCGAGCTTGAACTGGTCAACTATATAAATTTGGCGATACACACATTTCATGAGTAATAATAACGATTTGTAAACGGAATGGTATACTAACTTTCATTGGAAGTTGATAAAATACTTCGACAGATGTTTTCGATCGTTTCATAGCACGGTTTATTGCTCGAATGCTTGTTTCCATTGAATTTGCCATCGGCGTAATAGTTTCTTTAATGTAATTCGAAAATTCTTCACCTGTATTGTTGACACATAAATGAACACTTTCGAAAAAATGTTCGACAACCCCATCTAAATTCGTGGCAACGGTGCAAGCACATTTAAGATGTGCTTCATTTTGTGATTGAATTATCGTTTCGAAGAGTTGAAGAATTTTTGCCAAACGAATACACGACGATTTATGCGCTTCGAATTGATCGTGATCGATTTTTTGCACAGCATCCCCGATAAAATACTGAAAACCTTGATTTATGTAATTCACTGTGTCAAGCATATCAACGAGCTGATTGTGATAGGACAATAAAAATGATGGTAAATTCTCAATTGCGGAACTCAAACGTGTATTATAACTGGTGACGATTGTATTGGTAATGTACAAATCTTTTTCCAGCCGATCATTCAATATTCTCGGATTTTTACGAATTTTCTTCGATATATTCATCACACGTTCATGATTAACACCAATTAAATCATTCAACGATTTCCATGAGGAACATGACAAATTTTCATCGACTTCATTTTCCTCGTCATCGTCATCTGAACGGAGAAGTGACTCGAACGAAGTGAACTCATTGATATCATCGTCGCCTTCATTTCGGAACTCATTGAACAGACCGTCCATCAATTGGTAAAATCTTGAATATCCTACTCTTACTGCGCGATATTGAAATAAATCGATTCGTGATATCACAAACCAATATAGCACGGAAACTGCTATTATAATTACTCCGGCAAATATATAGACGAATCGCATTGTTTTAAAAATGTTTTTTTTTTTTTTTTCGAATGAAAATTTTGAAAGGATTTATTGAAAACTCAAACTTATTTCCTTTGTAAAAACTTATTATTGAAAATCAAAGAAGAGAGCGCACAATATCGATCGGCTAACCTGACACTCTCTTCAAATGATGTACGACGAATGTATGACATATTTTTTTTTATTGAAAATGTTTTAGCCTCATACAGACAATGTAAACAAAACGTTTATATTATTTTTATCTTTGTTTTGCAATATTTTGCGTATGTATTAATGAACAATACTTTAAGAATAATTTGATGTCAGTATTCTACGCTATTTACTGGAAAATATAAAGCAACCATTGAATAGGCGACTGAGTTTGTGTGCGATACAGAATACAATGATATCCGTTCGGTTGACGAGCACATTTTTTCTATCTGGAATGCATGAATTTCGAGCGATGTCTTGAAAGAAGTGTACAAGTGTATGTCAATTGTTATCAATTCATTGCGATAAGATCCGAAGACGAATGTACTTGGAGCGTCACAGTTTTTGATCGAACGAAATGAAAATGAGTTTCATTTTCAATCAACTCCAAACGATTCAGAGCGAATAGGAGCCAAAAGCGCTACATGTAATTTGCGAAAACAAAAAATCGACTTTCATTTCGGACTCTTACATTTCTTCGACACTGTCAATTATTCTGTAACTCGACAGAATGCACGTAAGACAATAATTCTAATTATTAGCTGGGTTGAACTTAATATCGTGAGACTGATCCAATTTCAATTGTAAAAAGACTGAATAGTTTCACTAGCAAAAATTTCCTAAGCATTTTGCATAATTTAACAAAAAAACATTCAATACATGTTATGAATTTGACTATTGTTAGTCTTTGTTTTCTTTCTGAGCGCAAAAAAAAATATATACAGCATCAATTCAACGTTCGAAAAAAAATGTTATTCTGCATGTCTTTTTCTTGTTATCTTTCGGAGATAATTGGCTGTGGTATTATTCTATTAAGATATTGGCAGACAAAGAATGAGCATATATTAGAAATAATTAGACGGTAATATTACATTATTATACTCTGTTGAACAATATCGGCATTGTTTTGTTTACTCTCTTTCGTTGAGCACACGCTTGTTTTTACACACTTGCCGTGTGTCTGTGTGTTTAGAGTATTAGCTCATTGCGTACTGAAGAAATGTGGAGAAAAGAAAATGAAGTAAAAAAAACACACAATCGACTCGACTCAAAGTAAAATATGAATTTATGGAAATTTAATTTCCAATCTATTGCCGAATGTAGCAGGTATTCCGTTTGTTCGAACGGAATAGTTTTTTTCTTCTGTTTACTATATTTGGTTATGCAACTGTGTCAGATATAATGTATTCGAAGTACAATACTGTGACCAGATGCGCATTAGAACTCATTTATGCTCAAACGATTGAAAGAAATGCGACCAATCTAACTGGAACAATAGCGGATTAATTGAATTTATTCCGGAGCAATTACGAGGTATAAAATCGGAATTAAAATCGGAGTTTTACCTTGATCCAATCGAAGATTGCGTCGAACTCGAATATAAAGTTGACCATTACGTTTGGCCACATGATAGATGTATTCATTTGAATTTGCGCCATCACTGCAACTATCTTGTTGATAAAGTTCCTCTATCAAGGATGAGTCGCACGGTGTGCACGTCGATTCTCTTTCATCTACAGCATTTTCTTTGTGACCATCTTCAAAATCTTCTTTCAACCACATTGAACGAAGACGATCCATTGCTTCCAATTCCAGTTCCAAATGACTGGGAGATTCATCGTCGTTGGTATTCCAACCGTACATGTCATTCATTGAACTGTTAACCAAATCATTAACAGAATGAAGACTTCCGTCGTCACTTATAATCGGTATGTCAATATAATTATCATTTTGTATTGCCAGATTTTTGCTATACATCAATAGAATTTCGATTTGTTTCTGGCTTATTCTCAGCTGTTTGTTTTTGTTTAAGTGCTTTTCAAGCACACTGAAGGTGTTGTGAAAACCACAACTGGAGTCGGCTGGTGTTGCAGTTATTGACCGGTTAAAATCAATACTTTGATCGTGAAGTTGATGTTTTGATTGTAAACTGAATGAGTGCTCTTCATCAATCGGTCCACCGATGAAATCATCAAATGAGCATGCAGACGGAGTGTTATGATCGACTTCATCGGTTGTACCAAATTTTGTTGAATTCATGTTGCTCGATTGAATCGAATCAGTTGTCAGACGCTTTGTAAATAGTGTGTGATATTCATCTTGATCATCGATTTTCGGCGAATTCGAAGGAGGCGGTGGTGATTCGGATGATGATTTCAAACTTAATGCAGCTGATATTTTATTCATAATATTTGTGGTCATTGTTTATGCGATATTTTTGTGAGTGTACTAAAGATTGTTCGAACATATTTTTGGTGATTTTTTTTTTGTGCTCACTTCACTCGAGAATTTTTTTTAGCTACCAAGTATTCGTTTGTTTAAAATATCTAAAATAAATATTGAAGATGAACCATTTTATTGTTGGTGTGCATGAACATTTGCAATCGCAACAGGACAGTATCATAATGGACTCTTTTAATTTGAAGAATTTGTGTCGTTCGCTTTGTTGATCTCACTAGTCTCTATTTTCTCTTACTCACTCTTACACTCTCTCGATGTCTCTCTTTTTGATTTAAAAATAAATAGCGGAACCTCACACTGTCTTTGATCAAGTCGAAGAAGAAAAAAATTCAACAAACAAAATGTTGAGCATTGCAAAACATTTTCACAACAATCGCTGTCATTTCAAAGGCTACTAAGTGATATTGTGTTATAGTTTACTATGATACAAAATCAATAAATCCTATTATAACGCTGAAATTATCGTTTGCTCCAAAAATGGTTGGATTTTGAATAAATAATAGATAACTATCAATTAACACGATTGATACAAGCTGTAAACACTTCCAGCCAACACATAAACACTTCTTTATTTAATATTTATATATATTTTTCATCTTTATGTTGTTCCTAATACTCACTTCAGTGTATTGAACGAAACAAGCTACAGCGATGCGCCGACAGAAAGTGTATTTAAGTGGTGTTTAAAAGCAATGAAATACGAGTAATAAATAGAGAGTAAAAAAGCGATTTCCTAATCAAATCAATTTGATAATCAAACGAAAAATTAATTTCTAGCCTATCAAAGTTGATGTTTAAATGAAAAAGAAACAAACAATCATGAATAGAATGTAATCGAGAGCGGTAATTGATGTGAATGTATTCATTGTAATTCTTAAACCTTTTTTTATTTCATATACTTCAACAAGACACGCATGTAATAATAAATAATTCGTCATTTAGTGGGAAAAAAAGTGAGATAGAGAGAGAGGCATCGCATGCATTCTACTTTTAAAATGTCTGTGAACATAACCAAAAAAAAAACTAAACTTCGCAACTTTCGGCAAAAAAAATAATGTTGTATTTTAACGTAACGTCTTCGATTGTGTGGAATTTAGTAAAAATCGAATCGAGCTTTTATTTTTATATTATTTTCCGATTGAAAACAAAAAATGCGATTTCGTATTGTAAGATTTAGTGAAACGAAACGAAAAAGGCATAGAAGAATGTGCAGATGTTTATTTAAAGCTGAGCCAACGCATTTCCCGTTGATTTCATTGATTAAATCGGATAAACAAAAAAAAAAAAGAAAAATTGCCAATAATTTTTGAAAGGCAGTGCAATGTGAATCAATGACTTTCTTCTATGAACGAAAAAATAAACAAAAAAACTGTGTAATCAGAGAGTGTACTACGATACGGTGTTGTGAAACTGACACAAAACGTTCATGCACTATCCAATCGTAGAGTGCGTGAGCAAACTACGACGATTAAAACCGAACAAAATGCTCAACACTTGTTAATCAAAACAATAATAAATTGGTACGCGAGTCCGTTATTAAAACACATAGCATCAAAATTTGTATGCATTGAGTCATTCACTGGCAATTTGCAAGTATGTGTTTGTGACATTGACACAAGCTGACGGCTGTCACAAAGATTTTTTTCTTTCTACCGCATTTCACATGAATTTTTTAGTCCGAAAATTCAGTGTATGCTTTTTGTTTACCATCAATTCACAGATAATGTTTTTGTAATATTAATTGCTCTTTCAACGAATTGCTATCATCTGATTAAATATCAACAGTTTTTTCAACGTTGTGATTTGATTTTTTTTTCACAGTTGGAAAAATCAACACACGTAAAAAGGATCACACAAACACTGAATAAAAATAGTTTTTGAATTGGTATTAGTCACTGAATTATTTTAAAAAAAACGAAATGCGATGAATTAAATCACGTGAAAACCCATATTTTCATATTCTAAAAATAATTGTGACCTACACTCAATGCGACCGACATGAACGGCGTCTAGCGCAGAACTAAGCGTAACCAAAACCAAAACTTATTATATTTGTTCTTCATATTCCACAGTCGTATGGTTGGGTTCGTATCAGTTCGCATTCATACAAATGCCGAAGCATACACAGCAGCAACACTGCGAAAACGACTGCAAGTGTATTGAACGGCGATCGAGCATATGCTTGTGTATCACAATCGTGAACATGATTTTGTGTGTGCAACTTTTGCTGATATTACACTCTTTCGCTCGAAATATAATATTTCAAATAAACGGCAAAAACTCTTTTGCGGTAGCGGTTGCCCAGTGGACACTGTCTAATCCAAGTAATGGATTGACAAACACTTATCAACATAATAAACATATTTGTTGCTCATTCATTCTTTCTTTGCATAGAGAATCACGCCTTTCAGATGGGAATAAAGTAATGTGTTTATATTTCAGGTGAAAAACAAACTTTTAACTGAAACCACATCAATGTCGTTGTCAAATGAACGACTCTCAGCTATTGGAAATGTTTTAGTGTTTACCTGTGCTGCATTTTTTATGTATGACATTAAGTCGCTGCTTGGTATGCTGTTTTTGGTTATTTGAACTAGATATGGTATGCGCAGAGACAAATATTTTGCAATTATGTTACATGCATGCAGCAATGTGGCTCAATATACAACTGTCGAGCGATTCATGTAAAAACGAGCTCTACTTCTTAGAAAATGTTTATTTTTCTTGCTGTGTCGTGCTCACTCTCTCGTAACCATCGACAAATGATGCATGAGAATATTTTAAATTCGACAAGTTTGTCTATGGTTTAACATAGATTTCAGATTTGGTATCCAAAGCAATGTATTGAATGTTGCGTGGTTTCGATGCCGTTTTTTTGTTCAAAGCAGAAAGAATTGAAAATTATTATCCAGCCCTGCCCTATGGCGAAAAAAAAACTATAGCGTTAAATTGCGATAAAATGGTAATAAATATTTGGTCATTGTTGTAAATTACAATAATATAATACAAGAAAGTGATAAAGTTAGATGGAATATTGGCATCACGAGCCGTGCTTGAACTTTATTTTTCCGAGATATAATGGTTCTTTTAACTTGACAGGACAATAATAATAGAACGGTGAAGACCAACAATATCTCTTTATTATCTAATGTGAATGACCTGTGCAGTTTGCGCATTTTCTGCTTATAACTTGATTGACTTTGGGCTAAGGCTGTGTCAAGGAACAAACCGATTACAATGTAACATTAACAATGTATTTGCATTAATGAGGAAATAAAGATTTTTATATCTATATCGCTGTTGCATCAAATCATCGTCTTTATGCAAAGATATATCCATTTCTGTCAAATAAATCATCGGCCAAAAATCTGTCTAAGTTCATTAGGGTCTTGTTATACCATCGTACGTCATGTGATTAATGTTGCTGGTAATTGTGGCTTGATTGCGAATAATTTTCTTCTTTTTTTTTATTAAATCTTTAACGTTATCGACGACGAAATATCTGGTTTTCGTAGTTAGACTTGTTCAAGACAATTTGATCATGGTCTATCAGCATGAGTGCGTTGTTTTCTTTCTTTGAAAAGCCAATAACTCGAAACATTGTAACATGTTTATTTTTTTCTTCTTCTTCTTCTTCTATATCAATATTCGAATAAACAGCTTGCAATTAGTCTATGATTTTTCTCGTGGTTAAACCGAATCGTTTGGTGTTCATATGCGGAAAACGTTTATGACACATTCGATAGATATACTCTATTATTATCAAGCCGAGTAATTAATTTATTTCCATTAGCGTCAACGGTAATCCGAAAGAAAATTAAATTTAATGGGTTGTTGTAACGGTTTCATTTATTTTGAACTTGTGTCATCTTGCATTGTTGTTGGACATGGTGTGTTCTTTCTTTTCGTTTGTTTCTAAGACCGGTCCTATTATGCTATGCAAAATTACCTGAATTGCAAAATGGGTTTTAGAAATATTATCAACATTCAATCATGCCCATCCAATGGCCATTTAACGCATAAAACATGTTGCCATTGTTTGAAATTAAAAGAATAAACAAGAATTTAAACGATCGTTTATGTACTCTCTCACCTCCTTATTTTATTGCAAAAGAGATTCAATTGTGCATTTATGAATAACTGTCGAAAAGTCTATCTGCACCCAACCGAGCCGATTCGCAATATCGTCAGAGAGACAAACATCAATAATTGCAGTTTGAAGTTCGTGTTCTCTCAATCTCTCTTTCGTCATCAGTTTCGATGTAAATGTTTAAGATAAACTTGCGTTCATCAAGTTTTCACCGCAAATATTCAAAATAAAAGAAAGATCAAACAAGTCAAAGAACATATTAAATTCAATAGACTTTGGTGTCGTGTATTTGTTTTTTCTTTTCTTGTTTTTTCATTTTTTTACTATTTACGTTTTTCGAATAAATTTTGCCATTGAACTTCAAATGCATGGTTTTCATTACCCGTTAGAGGCGTTGGTGCATTTCACCGTTCACTTCTGCATGAGAACTGTAATTATAACTGCCCACCAAAATGAAAGAGTTCCAGTGATACGATTCATGGAAAACCGTTCACGTACAAATCATAAGCAAATATTTATTTTATGCTCTTATGAATTTTCAATATAAAAGCCCGCGTGACTCTTATCGAGCGTGGTGGATTGGCACAGCTTCTTTGAATTGCGTAGTAATGTGTTAATTGGAGTGGAGATTCTAAATCGATTCTCTGCATTTCGGTTCGCAATGAAAAACTATTATCATTTTTTTCTCCTTCGGTTCATTTGAATTTTTTTATTTAGTCATAAAAATGGAAAACTTTTGAATACAATGATTCTATGCCGGATTTGGTTTAACGGCTTCAGTTTTTCCACATTCTTGAATCTAATAAAAAAAAATTCCATGTTAATGGGACAAATATTTGGGTAACATTTTTTTTCTCTTTTATTGATTAAATCTATCTAAATTGGCGCACATAGATTCCGTGTTGATGATTAAAATCGCATGATGCCAACCCGTCTACGTGTAATGCCAGTTCATCGTGGTATGCCAAATGGCTGGTATGCATGCAACGATTTTGATTGAACACAAGCAATATTGCGCCATTTCATTTGGTCACTTGTATTTTCGGATTCTCCAAGGTGAAAGCATTCACGTTTTTGCGAATCGTCTTCAAAACTTCTCACGACTTTTTCAATTGCCAACAATGGCCCGGCGTATAAACTTTCAATTTTTTATTTTTTTTTTATTTCTCGACAAACCACGATACATCGAATTGTTTTGTTACTTTTTATTATTACAGTTATTGATTGTTTATTATGCTTACCATTTGTTTAAAGTCAAACAATTTATATACATGTGTCCAATGGAATATCAAAATCATCTTGTCAGAGG